GTCGCGTCCATCGCCGTCTCAATGTCATGTTTAGCAGCATTAATTGGATACAATCGCTTCGTTTTCACAGTTGTACATGGTCCCACTAGAAGCAACCTTCGTTGTTAAAATAGCTAAAGCTATTACTTCAGCGGCGAAAAATAAACAAAGCATTTAGTTTGGTTCCGTCTATTTTATCCACTCGTGGAAAATTTCCAGAAATCCGGTCTTGTTTTGCAAGACGGTGGCCGGTTTTGAAGCCTGTTGTAGGCCTCCGCGCCCACCTGCCGTCGTAGGATATGTCCACAGCCACGTGCCGACGTCTTTACAGATGATGATGCGTTTTCAAAGCCGAACAATGGACTCTAATGAACAAATCAGGGACGAGTGGAACAGTGGGCTCATGCCAGGGGACAAGCGCCTTGTCTGGGCGGACAGGTGTAGCGTTGGTGCGGCCGTTGGCCGGACAGGTCCCGCAGCAGTGGGTTCATGCCAGGGGACAGGCGCCTTGTCTGGGCGGACCGGTGTAGCGTTGGTACGGCCGCTGGCCGGACAGGTCCCGCCCGACACGGGCTCTGGTGTCGGCACACACGTGACGTGACATGTGACGGAGCCCTCCCAAGTCTGGCCCGACGGTAGCGTGGCGAGCGACGTTAGCCGGTGCACTGTGGCTGCACGCGCGGTGGGTGCAGCTGGGCTCACTGGTGGGCTCGCGGCGCTCGTGGCCGTCGAGGTGTGCACGCTGAGGTCGGAGCCGCCTGTGGAAGTATTTCCAATGTATGTTTATAAAGTATTTTGTTGAGCGGCACTGTCGGCGTGTTCTCGTACCCTAGCGCTCCAATCACCGCAGCGGTGGTGCACCGCGCTGGCGAGCCGCGCCCTCCCGAACGGGTCCAACGCTCCTGATCAGAAGGCGGGCGTGGTTGTGACGCTAAGTCATCTGATAGGTCTAGTTTTGGAAGCAGGGGTTTCGTTAATTCATCAAGCCATCATTTCCTGATTTAAGGATCGTTTTGCGGGAGGGGGATTGAAAATCCTCGCGGCATTTGTCGTCGGGCAGTCTGCCGCAGAACCTCGAACGTGTGCTGTTTTGAATATGTGTTGTGTTTCGAACGTGCAATGTTTGAACGTTTACGGTTTAGAATGTCAACATTAGTCACCGCGATTCGTTAGCGGTCAACGGAGCCGATGCAAGGACTCCG